TTGCCGATGAAAAACTGGTTGCCGACAATACTCGCTCTCACTAGAGAAGATTGAAGCTTTGTAAAAGCGTTATAAAACAGTTTTTGACAATTCTTTCGACTGAAATTGTAAGAGCAGCTGGCAGCAAAAGGTTGTAAACAAACCAATACTGCATATGTGTGCGTTCCATAGAGAAAAAGTCTCATTTGATTTACACGGCAATAACTTCACCGTGAGTGACAAGTGGTCACTTCACTTCGTTTTCATTATGAAGTGACACTTGTAATAAGGACCAGATTTCATGTGTGAGTAAGTGATAAACATTAATATGTGCGTTTCATATTTCATCACATGTAGTTCCACAGAGCCTGAACGATATTTAGCGCTTGCGTAGATCATCTGCAAACAAATAAATTCTTCCAGAAATTAGTTAAGATAAAATATTGAAAAAAATGTTAATTGTTAGTGAACAAATGTAATGTTGAATTGAAATACTTTAAATCGTTTTAGATTTAAATGTTCCCTCATTTCACATCCGTTGAACCATGTTAAACGGTCATCCCGTTGTGGTTATATCACATCATTGCTAATAATGTATACATCTATATCTTTTCCAGTACCATGAAGTAAACAAAGTAAAAGTGAAAGAAGAGCTGCAAAATAGAGCACATGCGATACGACAATAGAGTGATGCTTGTTGGGGAAATACCCGGAGACACCATCCATTTTCCGCATTGGTGTTACGGTTTTACAAGACGTAACTAGGAACTCAAGATCATCATACAAAGATAATGGGCGTCGAAATATCGTAGAACGCATCAGAAATAACATGGGAGACTTTTGGGAGACTAGTAGCGACTAGCAGTGATGCAGAGAAGTACAACGAGTTCACAAATAGGCACGAAAATTGGACGGAAGGGTGAAGAAACAGCAAAAGCTGGTGAGATCGTTCCAAATTTTTATTTTTTCGTTATTGCTCATATATACAAAACAATGCTGGGACCTGATTGAAGCGATTTGAATTGGGGAGAGTGAAATTGTCGTGGAAAAAGGACGGGCGCTTCTCCGCACTCATTGGGGTATCCTTCTGTCGAACGGCTAGTTTTTTCACCAATTGTATGATCATGTGGCTGTTAGGAGATTCTCTACCATCCCTTCGAGGCGTATAGGAGAATTTACCTATCTATCCACCAAACCCGTTTTTGGCCCTTCATACAGTGACATGTTGAGGACAATCAGAGGTTATTAAGCTTGATCAAATCAAACAGTGAGGAGTGCCCACTGCTATCGAATTTAGTTTCCATGAAACAATGAGTGGCAGACAATTATAATACATCATACAGGCATGTAGTATTTAGTGGAACTTTTTCAGCCAAACAATCTCATTCTTTTGGCCATTTTTAAAATAAGGGTCGTCCTCAAACTATTGTTATAAAAAAACTAACTTTTTTAATTTAACGCATGTTCCTCAGCAAAGTTGTAGCTGAGCAGATTTCAATCTAATTTACTTAAAAAAAACATTGTTTTCTATCTCCAGACCGTGCTCATTTTAGAGCCATTTTTTTGGATTCACTTAGGGTGGTCCTGAAAAATACAAATTTTTGGCACTAACTTTTTTTTATTTCTGTGAAACCTTGGGATGTCTTTTACGGCTAATTGCGATACACATTTTTTTCTGGAAACGTAAATTTATATCTCTTTTAATTTACGAGATACACACCATTCACTGAAGTACAAGATGGAAATTTAGCATTAAAAAAGTTCTAATGCTTTTGCCTCAAGTTTATTAGAATTTGTGTTTTCTGTGAACATTTACAGCTTAAAAAGTGTCTACTTTTTACCATTTTTATAGTAAGGGTGGTCCTCAAATGATTGATCTGAAAAACTAAATTTTTAATTTCTGAAAATAAGGACATGTTTTTCAGCAGAGCAGAGATAGTAAAAATGTTTGTTAGCAGCACCGGTGGTGTATTGGTAAGCGTGATTACCTCTCACCCCAACAGGCCTGTGTTCAATACCAGTCGGCGCCGCTGGGATGTTCTGAGGCCGTTGATCCCGGTTCATGAGTTGATGGGGCGATAGATAGAGTCCAGGTGTGGGAGCTGCCTTCCTGGCGTCGGTAACATTAGTGCTCAGCACGGAAAACAAGATCGACCAAAAACAAATCAACGAAAAAAAAGGAAAAATGTTTCATCAGCAAAGTAGCATGAAATCATTTCAGCTATAACATTGCATAGGAACATCCGCCTTTTATTTCAAAAATACAAAGTTAGTTGATCTATACCAATCATTAGAGAACTACCCTTTTTCTAAAAACGGTCAAAAGAAAAAAATCTGAGTTGAGTTCACAGAAGACTCTAAAGTTCTAGAACTTAACATAAATACACTAGGACTATTTTCTTGCTAAATTCCCATCCTAGATTACTGTGCAATGCTTGGTTCAAGAGTTATTAATTTTCAAAGTACGTAATATCTATAAAAATCCGAAAACTTCAACTGAAATATTTCCAGGAAAATTACCCACCCCAAATTTTATTTAAAAAAAATTAACCGTCATACAACCATAAACTCTACCTGTTGGCCTAAGTTTCATAAGATTTAAATAAAAACCCATCTGGCAGCCCTTTATGGATGCCGAGTACATGTCGAAATAACCAGAATCGGGTCTCAATAACCTCAATGTCACCGAAAAGTATTCCAATGGTCTGACATTTTTAAAATGGTGACCCATATTTCTGTGCTCAAGTACCCAAGTTCCAACCCTTTTTGGTAGCTCAATAACATTTTTAAAAACCTCAAAAGCCTTTTCCAGCACTTAAAGAAAGAGGTAACATTTTAATCACATATTCGAGAAAATCTCAGAAACTTGCTAAGCAATTCGAGAGTTCTTATAATTTCAGTTTAGGTTTCACTAGTCCTATTGAGAATCAGGTTGCTCGGGATTATCTGAATATTTTCCCTCGGGAAAATATTTTTGATGATTCTTGGGGGACTGATTTCGGCGAAATAAAATCTTTAACTCAAAAGTTTCAAAATATGGAAGCTCCATGAGAGAATGGAATTTTCTATATCCCCATGAAAAGACTCCCAGAGAGTACCTCGGCTGATAAAACTATTTAACAGTTGATTCCATTTGGAATACTTTCTTGATAAATGGAAAAATGCAAAAGTTGTTACACTTTTGAGGCCGGATAAAATTCCAGCTGAAGCTTCTAGCTACGGTCTAATAAGTTTGCTTTCTTCAATAAGTAAACTTTTGAAAAGATAATTTTGAATAGAATGATGCTCCACATCAATACGAACTCAATTTTTACTAATGAGTAGTTTGGAATACGCCATGGGCATTCAACTGCTCATCAACTCTAAAGAGCTACCAATTTAATTCGCTCAAACAAATCGAAGGCGGCTCAACTGGAGTTGCTCTTCCAGATAAAGAAAAAGCATTCGACAGTGATTGTCATGAAGGTTTGCTTACCAAATTGAAAAAGATAAAATTTTCCACTCTATAGTATTAAATTAGTTCAAAATTATTTAACTGATAAAACTCTGCAGGTAAACTATCAAAATTCCAAACCTGAACGACTACCTATTAGAGCTAAAGCTCCTCAGGGTAGCATTCTTGGGCCTATATTGTATAATATTTTCACTTCGAACCTCTCTGATTTGCCTCAAGGTTGCCACAAATCTTTGTTCGTTGAGCACACTAAAGGAAGAAGTCTTCGTGTTATTTGCAGCATACTGCAGACAAGTTTAAATATTTTCTCTTCTTATTTACAAAAATGGAAGATTTCTCCCAACGCTTCCAAAACTCAACTTATAATATTTCCACATAATCCTAGAGCTTCCTTTTTGAAACCTAGTAGTAGTCACATAGTCACTATGAACGGAGTTCCAATTTCCTGTTCAAACCAAGTGAAATATCTTGGATTAGTACTTGACCAAAAATTAACTTTTAAAGACCACATTGAGGGCATTCAAGCCAAATGTAACAAATAGATAAAATGCTTGTATCCTCTTATAAACAGGAAATCCAAACTTTGCCTGACGAATAAAGTTCTAATATTTAAACATGTTTTTAGACCGGCCATGCTTTACGCTGTGCCAATATGGTCTAGTTGTTACACTACCAGGAAAAAAACACTTCAAAGGATTCAGAGCAAAGTTCTGAAGATGATTTCGCATTTGCCTCCCTGGTACAGTACAACCGAGGTACATAGAATTTGGAATGTTGAGACTTTAGAACAAATGTCAAATGCAATCCTCAATTGCAACGATTAAGTCTTTAGCTTAAATTTTTAGTTTTAAGATGTCAATTTTTATACTGACATACAGGATTAGAAAACCTGTTTAATATTGCTTAAAAAACTGTTTAACCTGTTTGAAATTGTTAAAAACAAATAAAATTGCCAAGTCAGGAACAATGAATACTTAGATAAATATCATAAAATTTAAGGCTGGTAAGTTACTGTAGTAGCTGGAGCAGCTAGGTTAAAATTAAATGTAATTTATTTTAAATATGAAACAAAAATCGCTATTTTGAGCCACCATAATGTATAATCAGTTTGTCCAGTATGTTTAATCCGAAACACAAAGGTAAGACAACATAAAGTAACCCTTCACTGACTAATAATTTTCAAATCTTAGCCATATGCCATATTCAGACTAAAGCCTCAAAACGTGTTGTAAAAGAAAGCGACAAGAAACATGTCATCAGAATTACCTTACAACAAGTTATAACATCCCAGCCAGTCCAGTGGGCAAGTTTCTCAAAACACGATGACGTACCTTTGTAAATTTCGGTTTTTATTTATTTATCGCTTCCTTACCCCAAATACACTGTAAACGATTTCCAAGCCGTTCCCAGTCAGATAATACAATTTTCGCGACGAATCATCAAACATCCCATCGCTTGCTATTCTCCACTGAAGCTTGACCCAAACCTTTCTGCTTAGACAATAGAAAAGGAATAAAAACCTCACGCCCCGAGGCAACAAATCAGCAACAATAGCACCTTGTCCTACCTTTACTAATGTTGTACAACAGCCATCAAACAGGAACCATCCATAGGGTGACAAAACAGAAATAGTCCTCCAGTCCTTTTGTACCTTTCCTCACGTTCTTTTTTTTTTTTTTTTTGGTTCCCTTCGAAACGACGACGACCGGGGAAGGAGAAGGGCGGGTTGTTATCTGTCTCTTCCACCAAGATTCACTTCGTTTGACACTGTTTCACATTCCCGCACTCAACTGTCGGCGCGGTACAATTTTTAATCCAATTAATCGTTATGTGAACCTGCCCTTATCCGCTTACTAGGACGGACGAACAAGCGAACGGAACACCCTTTGGGGTAGGCGTGTTGCACCAGGAGGACACACTTCAACTTTCCGGATAGACATTCAATGGGTAACACTTCGCGTTTTTTTTTCTGCTTACTAGTTATGTAACCTACTCGCAGTTGGACTATTTATGCCCCTCCTGCGATTTTTAATGAGCTCAATTTCACTTAGAACTAGTTCTCCTAACACTATGTACTGACTTTTATATTCTCTTAATGATTTGCAGGTTTAATATAATGATGCACTTGATAGGAATTCGTTATACGTTATGTTGTACAATGGCTGTTTCTAGTTACACTATGCACTAATCATCCGCTTGGTTGATTCCTAATAGACTCACAATCTTCTCGAGCAGGATCCACTAATTATTACTAATTTGATTTAAATACACACTCATTAATATTCGTAATGGTTTCGCCTACGGCGTAAATTCTCACTGAGCTGGGAATAGGATCGAATCAATCCCACGTAGACTGCTCTCCTGCGAAAAGTTTTCCCATTATTCCACTGCTTAGGAGCACACTTTCCACATAATTCTCGGTCGAAATGTCGTAAAACCAATCAATTTTCGTAATGAGCACCATGCGTCTCCATCACTTTTGCACCCAACAACCGCGCATGCAGCTTCAATTCACCGAATCACGTTTCAAACATTCACTATCCATAAACAGTAGGAAAATCAAACCACAACAGGCCTTCATGGCGTGATCTAAGGCCGATTCCAGCCATTCAACACCCCCAAACGCTTCCGGTGGCCACAAACCAATCACTTCTTCAAAATTGTATTCGTTACGGCTACCTTCAACCCCTTTCCCCCACACTATTCCAAGCTTGAGATGTTTTTCTAGAAGCTCACCATCATCCCTTCAAGAAAAGCACGGATGTCCCTCCAACTCCGGCCATTATTGCTGGCGGGATCCGAAGAAGAAGGCTTATCATAGGCTGGGCTCTTCACCACGAACTGTAGCGGAACTTCCCCGGCGCGTTCCCACGCAGTCACTACAACCGACTGAATGTTTGAATTTCTTAATCCTTCTCAACTGTTCCAGCGTTCAACACTTGACTCAAACCTGAAAATTCCACTTCCACTTGTCTAACTCTCCGCCAAGAGGAAGGACACTGCTCCACACACACACACGCACACTCCCACACTGCACTGTCTTCCTAACTTCCTTCCCTTCTCAATAAAGTAACCTTTGACCAGAAAGGGACGAGCGAGAGAACGCGGTTTTGCTGCACGACCGTAACGAATTTGGCACTGAACTGAAACGAACGGTGCTGGCCGCTCGAGTTGGAACCGATCTTCCGAGTGGTGACGATGTCGCCGAGCACGGCGCAGGCTCACCACGGCCAAGTTGGGACACCAACCACCGGGCCCGGATTGGTGCGATTTGAATTTTTTGCCTTGCCTGATTCGAGCTGGAACATCGGAGCACGTGGTGCGCAGAAACCATACGCGTCGAAATTGCGAAAAGGATGAATGGAACCGAACGAGCGGCGGGTGAATATTCGAGCTGTTGCGATGCTCGGTGGATGCTGCGAAGCGATAAATTGAACGATAGTTGAAATTGCATTTCATCAAGGCGTTCCGGTTGTGGTGTTGGGATTTGTTTCGAATAGCATGTTTGAAGATGGATTATATCTGCAATTGTATTTTTAATGTGTTGATGTCACTAACGTCAGCCTATGTGTCCCATAAAATGAGCTCATTAGTAATTATTAATTATTTTTCAATCTATTTCATTAGCAATCAAAAGTTGCCAAACGATGCATTCTTCTATGAAAAAAAATAGGAGATTTATACCATGTACAGGGGATACTCAAAATAACTAGGATAGGCAAATATTTGGTCAATTTTGGAGAGTGTTAACTTCATCAAATATTGTACAAATTTTATTCTTCCAAAAGTATTCCATTGGAAAACTAATACAGTTTTATGGTGTAGCCACGAAAATAATCATGGTCACTGGATACCGAAGATATTCCGAGATTTCAGAGGATTTGTCTAACTTGCTAAAATTGTGAATAGATTTTCTATAGGATGTCAGTTAAAAACCAATATTTTTAGTTAATACACTGAAAGAAGAACCATTTTCAAAGCGAATGATATACCAAGAACTAAAATTGACTTATAATCAACCGAGATATGGCCATTTCCCTGGAATCGGTTCTGAGGGAGGGTTCTGAATGTGGTCAGATCTTTTAATCACTCAAAACATACCTTTCGACTGCTCTTTCTTCATGGTTCTTAATCCATAGGCTTCCCCATTGGCATAGCAAGAAAATTTATCTCGGGGGGGCCTGGGGGCTGGGGGTCTGTTGCATTTATATTATTTTGCTAAACTAAGGTGAAATAAAATCTCGCGAAGAAGTTATTTATTCAATCAAATTACGTCAAGGTACCTTTTTGTTGGGTGTGATCAATAATATGACATTGAGCCTTGCTATTATTTTAATGGTGAAACAATAAATTTGATTATATTTATTTCATAACAACGATAGGGACCTCAATTGGGGAAGCCTTAAAAGCTTGAACAAGCAATGATCGTTTGTTCATGCTTTTTGTCGATGCACAATTCTTAACATTCTGAATATTAAAATAAAAATAGTTTTGAGATTCCACTCCCATATGATTTCATGATTTTGTAACTAAAAAAAATATATCTCTGATACAGGTAAACATAAATTAGATCAATTGTCATAACTCTAGGACTAAGATAAAATTGAGATCCTTCCTAGGCAGTCATTTCATAAAAATTCCAGTACTTGAATATTAATAACAAATGAAATAAGAATTTCTACCATTATAATAAGATTACCCTAATCAAAAGTTACATAAAACTCCACAATATAAATATGGCTGAAAAAAAAATATTCGATGAAATTTTGTTCAACATAAATTTCAGGTATTAAAAAAAGGTTTAGATATAATAGGTTTGGATAAGCTTTGAATCTCCTGGACTTCAAAACTCGTAATTGTAGATCTTGGGAAACTTACCTAGATTCTGAGATTTGCAGCATTTTTCGAGGGGGAAAATTCTTTGAAAGAAAAAAAATAATTGCAAAAATTTGACAAGATTTATGAAAAATCAGGATATAACTTCATTTTATCAGGTTTTTAAGATACCAGATTTCGAATGTCATTAGCATTTGTTTTTAATAAAATGTCCAGAGAACTTTACTAATATCTTCGCCTATATGGAGATCTTTTGAATATTTCCTGCTGTCCAGGAAGGATGGCTCGAAGAATATCCTGTAATTTACAAAACGTTTCCTTAACATCTACAAAACCCATTAAGTTTTACAAAATTTTCTCAACTTCTACGAAGATCCCTTAATTTATGCCAAATTCCATATTTCTTTACATCTCCCGTAATTCTACGAAGATTTCTGAACATATTTGCACTTCTGGAAAGACACCATCTACAAATATCTTTGAACACCTGAAAAGTTTCATGAAATTTAAAATTTAAGTTTCCATAACCTCCAAGAAGCTCATGGAGCTTTTTTGAAGTAAGATCTCTGACAAACTGCAACTAAGGTCCCTAAACTAAAGCGAGGATCCCTGAAGTTCTTAGAAGTTTATTGAACTATTTTTAGATCTTCCACAAAATTCCCTGAACTTCAAAATTTCAACATTCAAAATTCCTTCCACAACGTTTCTCGTGAAGTTCCACAAAAGAAATTTCTTGAATTTGTACGTAATTTCCACAACTCAATGAGTCAATGAGGCTTAAAAAAAGTGCCCCGAAATTATATAGAGATTCCCGAGAGGACTTTAAAAACAAAATCGTTATTTAAGGTTCAATTTTATTAATCGCTGTTAAATAGTAACATCGAACTTGACAAGCTTGAGAAAAACATCAATAATTAACCAATACCAATACAATGCCTAGATAATTCTGGAGGGGGCCTGGCCCCTTGGCATCCCCAATGGGCTTTCCATAGACTTAAAATTCATCATTGACCACATTAGCCACTATTGGAACCTCCAGGATGCCTCCGGGAGAACCTGTAGCAGGGGACAATTTCATTTATAGGCTTCCCATAAACTTCAAATGGATTATTGACCGCTCTTGGAGCCACGGGATACCCCCGGAGAACATGTAGCAGAATACAATTGAGTTTTTACACCAAACCATGCATAAGGCTACTTTCAGCCCCGGAACCGCTAAGTTCTAGAAGCGAACCCCCTCAAAGCCATAAGCCATGGTAACGGTACATGCGAGAGTTCTGGAGTTTGGAGGACGCCGGCACTGCTGATGGTGGCTGCGGAAGCGGAGATGAACGTGATGGCGGCAACTATCCAGGCCGTGGCAATGGCCACGACAAGGGTGATCTCTTAAGGCCGGCGGTGTTTCTGGTGGATAATTCGGTAGCGGCCCACATAATGGCAGTGACTTGACCACAGCGTGCTATGGCGGCAGCCGGCGACAGGGACGCTACTGAATGAGACTTGGGAATCGTGACGGCCAATACAATGCCGATGGCTATTGGTGGCTGGCTTGACAACGGTGTGCTATTGGCGGCAGCAGATCGATGAGGACGGTATTATGACCAGGCATGGAAAATCATTTACATTCATTTCGTACATTCATTAGACTCTAAACTTTTTTCATCAACAAAATTCCGTTAAGTAATGCATGAAGCTTTTGTAGGTTTTATAATTAGCTACAACTTTTGACAACAATTCAAATCTGTATCTCTTATGCATGATGAAAGAGAGCAAACTGAACCCACCATTGTTTTTGAGTGAATGTAAATAACATTCACCGAAAAGCAATAATATGTGACAACCCGCCACTTGACACCGTGGAGGACATCGACCGAGCGTTGGAAGGACTCCACCAAACCATAACCGTGGCTGACGAGGCGTGCGTTCGACAAGTTCCTGTGAGGGGTAAGTTTATTGCCATTGATTCCCACACCCAATTACTGATTCGGTTGAGAAATGTTCGTAGACGCCAGTTTCAGAGGACTGGAGATCTGGGCAAAAAACATGAAATGGCCGATCTGAGCAGGCAGATTGCTTCCAGAATGGACTCACTCCGAAATGAAAGTTTCGGGCGTGTTGTCCAGAATCTGGACGACCGCTCCAGACCATTCTGGAAGGTAGCCAAGATCCTGAAAACTCATCCCAAACCCGTTCCACCTCTCAGAGTCAAAAATGATGACGATCGGTTTTTAATCACCCCACAGGAGAAAGTAAATGCGATCGGCAAGAATGTCACTTCATCGCATTTGCTTGGCTCGAATATCCAAAGTCCGCTCGACCGCAAAACCTTGATTCCTCCCCTTGTGTCGTGCCTCCGGCGAATATGATTACAGTACAACAGATTTGCTCAGCGCTGAAATGCACCAAGAACATGAAGGCTCCCGGGTTTGACGGTATATTCAACTTGATCTTGAAGAGACTCAGCATGAAAGTGCACTCTCTTCTAACCGCTATCTTCAACAGATGTTTGGAACTGCACTACTTTCCAAGTATCTGGAAAGTAGCAAAAATCATACCAATCCGCAAACCCGGAAAGGATCCAACATTGCCTTCAAGCTACATACCAATCAGCCTCCTTTCAGCGCTGAGCAAATTGTTCGAGAAACTCATTCTCAATCGTTTGCTCAAGTTTGTCGAGGAAAATAACATTCTCCTTCCGGAACAGTTTGGATTCAGAAAGGGGCACTCCACCAATCATCAGCTAGTACGGGTGATGAATAACATCCGAAGTAACAAAGCTGTATCCAAGTCCACAGCCATGGCCTTGTTAGACGTTGAAAAGGCGTTTGACAATGTCTGGCACAATGGGCTTGTATACAAGCTCTGTAACTTCAACTTTCCATTACATCTGGTTAAAATCACCCGTAGCTACCTCCAGCAAAGGTCGTTTAAGGTATCGTTGAATGGTTGTCTTTCAGACACGTTTTCCATCCCTGCAGGAGTCCCGCAAGGCAGTCTGCTGGGCCCCTTGCTCTACAGCATTTCCACTTCCGACATTCCTCCCCTTGGAGACGGTTGCGTGTTTTTCCTGTTCGCAGATGATACCGCAATAGCCGTCAAAGGAAGGATGCCTCGCGAAATAACGAACAAACTTCAACGATGCCTTAACGCCTTTGCTGATTATGCCACCACATGGAAAATCAAAATCAATGCCTCCAAAACACAAGCGATCAGGTTCCTCCATCGGCAATCGCCCAAACTGAAACCGGCTCCATCTTGTACTGTAATCATGGATGACACAAGGGTT